GAGAGCGGCGCTGACGGAGGTCACCGCTGATGGTGCAGTGGGTGTTGCTGGTGGCGGGCCCGGAGAGTCTGCAGTGGCTTTTCCTTCTGGAGCCATAGTGATGCAGAGCCTTTAGTGGTGTAATGAATACTTTATAAAAAGGTTGTTCTAGCAAGAACAGGAACTTGGCAGGCCTTATAATCCACTCTAGCTCTCATACCATGATGTTATCACTGAAGGATCGTAGTGAATAGGATAAGGTAGCCAAGTATATAAAGGAGAGAGCTGTGAAGTCTCTGTAATGACCTTGTTGGTAAATTGAAAGAGAACAAGATGATTATAAGATAGAAGTACAAGGATATAAATAGCAATCCTAGCTAGCCATGTACTCTGAGGGGTACATTCCCTTATTAACTGAATTACATTGCTACAGTAACCACGACTATTGCCATTCTAGACAGTTACCACGTTGCACTTCGTAACTGCCTTGTGCGGTTACTGGTCAGTCAAGGGTCACGACCGTTGACTGTCTTCGACTGTTGACCTTCGGGTGACCCTCGACCTTCCGCGAGCTCTATATGAGCTAGTGCGGTACTGGTACAAAATTCTGCTTCGCTATGAGGGGACGCGACAGTGGAGTGCCTTCGGGAATGCTTATAATAACCTTTCGGTTATTCCAACATCATATGGCATATTTTGTTTTAGTATTTTCAACACTACAATTAATATTGAAGTTGTGGGTTTGCTTTTGGTGAGCACCATGACAGCAAAAGTGGTCGCTTGACCATTCACAACAAATTCGCCTGTCACAGTAAATTTCGCCCCTCAAACGCAGCAATTTCGCCCCCTGACACAACAATTTTGCCACCTGACGCAACATTTTCGCCCCACTGACGCGGCAAACTCGCCGCCTGACGCAGCAAATCAACCTCCTGACACCGGAATTCATCCCCGAAAGCCAAATTCGCACTAAAAAAAGTTTCAGTTTCAAATGAAACAAAGAAAAAGTACAAGGAAAACCCCTCTACAGGGGAAAGGGGGGTACAACGAAATCGAGGTTTAATAAAAGACCCCCCCCGTATTGGGTACCCGGGGGTGTTGTATTTTGGGGGGGTCTTCTATCCGGGGAAATACGGTATTGGTTTGTTGAGCATTATATGTGGAGCGCCAAGGAGGGAGGTTTTGTAAGGCACCACCTCTGTTCAAATATAGGTAGGTTTTTCTATGTGCTACGAAGCCCAGCTTCACCGCTTTGAACCACTTGTAGATGGACGAGTTGCAAAACGAATCCATCGTTCTTTTTCAAAACAGTTGCCCCGAGTGAGGATCGAACCCACGACCTTAATATGAGCGCACGTTCTTCACAAAAGAACTGAAATGCACTCTGATTCAAAAGCTACAGAGTACAATTGATGCCCAACCAGTGCACGCGAATTTGCCTTGCGCCGGATGGATACGCTGCACCCGAGGTTGTTTCCCCAGCCTGTTGCACTTACGTTACAAGCGCGTCGCGTGGTTATCAACCAATAGTAACGAACAGACTGAAGTCAAGCAGAAGAGACTGAAGTCAAAATGTCAACGGATGGGGTAACAGATCTTGTATATAAGCACCTGCGAATCCTTTTTAGCTAGCTGCGAATTGACGAAATTTATGCGAAGTGCTCGTTACAGCTTATACGCCCCCTTCACAAGGCAACCGGGAGGGGCTCAAACAGGCATCAATTGTACCACTGAATGACCCAGTCTGAAATAGGCAGATTCGAGCTAGGAGGCGAAAAATGCGGTGGCGATTCGGAAGTGGTTCGGTGCGAGAATGTAGGCCAGCCAATCCTGAAGCGAGCGCCTCGGAATATACTCGGTAAAGCAAATCTAAAGTATGATGTAAAATTTCTTACACAAACTCTTCGAAATTAACCTAATAACGGTAAATTTTGAGATAACCCCAATACGAAGTCACTGGCCAAGTTAAGCCATTGGTGGTAACCAGTAGTGCGTTTGATTGTTTGTTTGTTTAAATATTTGCAAGTTTTTGTAACATTTTGTAAAGGAGAACACAATACAACAAAAACAGCCACCATTCAGTGGTGCAGATTCTCCCTTGTGGCAGGACTCCGCATTTCACTGCAATACGTCTTGCATGCAGCCTTTACCTCTGGAGTGAGACGGTGGTGGGAGTGAGATGGTAGTGGGAGTGAGATGGTGGTGGGAGTGAGATGGTGGTGGGAGTGAGATGGTGGTGGGAGTGAGATGGTGGTGGGAGTAAGATGGTGATGGCAGTGAGAGAGCAGGGGGGGAGAGACGCTGCTGGGAGATGGACTGCATAACCCTCAACAACTGGGAGAAGAGTTCTGACGCGCCTCCAGAATTGTACAGGAGTACCAACTTTTGGAACTTATACTTGCATCCTGACTCGAGGCGCAGTGCCCTGTGCAACGATGGGCTAAACACTGTGACGAGAACAATATAGAGGGGATGAAGGACGGCGCGAGGAAATAGCAGAGGCAATGGGGGAAGGTGTGAGGAAACCACAGAGAAGGGGGAAGGAGGAAACAGACCTGAATAGAGGGGAACTACGCCTAGACAGCAAGGATGGTAGCGAACAAAAAAAAACATTTTTTTGAAAGCTCTTGAAAAAAAAAAAAAAAAAAAAAAAAAAAAAAAGAGAGACGGGACCCACCGAGCAGACAGCCAGTTGGAGGCGGTTAGGAAGAGACAGCGAGGGCGACAGATAACCCAAAGGTGCTTTCTTTTCAGACACGGACCCAGAGATACATTTTCAGATTTCTCGGAATATTCAGCTTCGCTCACCTCTGCCTTGGCACATTGCAAAACTGCCTACCGTCAGACGAGAAGCCACCTGCACGCATGGCATGTGTTCTGCCATGTGCCTGCGGATGTGCTGCCATGTGCCTCCTCTCCCCTCCCCATTCCCGCTCACACACCCTCCTTTCCCCGCCCCCCTGTCGCTCCCCTGCCCCCCGCCTTGTACATTATTCACTGTCATCACCCCCTGCCCTCCTGTCCCTTTTCCCCATTCTCCCTCAACTGCCCCAGGCACAGAGTGCGATGAGGCTGGGCCTGGCCCGCTTGTTTGGGCAGCTCTGCATGGCCCGACCTGGGAAGGGCCGGGACCGGACTGGCCAGTGATCAACCCTAGGTTCAAGTGGGAGGGGGTTGAAGAAGGTGGGGGAGGGGAGGAAATTGATCTCCTTCAGCCCCCCACAGCCTGCCCCTCCTCCTTCAACCCTGCCAGCACACGCCGCCACATCGCTCCGTGTGATTGGGGGGGGTAAGTGGGAGGGGGGTGCGAAAAGTAGAGAGATCTATTTCAGCCCTGCACTGCCTGCACGCCCCAACTCCTTCAGCCCTGCTAGCATGCGGCGCCGCATTGCACCCTGCGCGTGGGGGAGGAGGGAGGCGGAAGGGGCAATTTCAGCCCCACACCGCTTGACCCACCTCCTTCAGCCCAACAAGCACATGGCACTGCATCGCTCCCTGTGATTGGGGGATTGGGAAGGCGGAGGGTGAATCTTCAGTGGAGAGGGGTGGAAAGGGGAAGAAGGGAAGAGTTGTTTCAGCTTGCATGAGGGAAGAAGGGGGAAAGGGGGAAGGCTGCCGCATCGCACCCTGTGCATTGGGGGGGGAGGGAGGAGGGAGCGAAGAACTCCTTCCTCCTGTTTGTATTGGTTCTTGAGAATTCTGACAACCCAACTTATCTCCTTGAGTGCAAAGAAATCTCTGAAAATTTCCTCCAGCCGCCTCCAGCAGCAACTGCCACCGCATTGCTCCCTGAGCGTAGGAAGGGAGGATGGTTTAACGGGGGATGGAGAAGAAAACGAAGCGAGATGTGGGGTTAAAGGAAAAGGGGAAAAGCAGGATGTGAGGGACGAAGGGAAGGGGGGAGAGGAATGGGGGGAGAGAGGGGTCAGAGGGGGGAGGCAGAGAGTGGAAGACAGCAAGGAGAGGTATAAAGGAGAAAAGCAGGTTGAGTCAGCAGTGTGCTCAGCGACTAACCGCCAACTGCTGGGCGTACCCAGATGGGATGTGATGTGAGGAAGACTGGGAGTCTTGACATAAACAATATGGCAGTGCTGCTCAGTGGAGGGCTGTCCATTGGCAAAACCACTACAGCTCGTCTTGTTTGTGCTGCCGAGCTTGACTACTCACCTCTTGAGGTGCATCTTCTTGAAGCTTGCTGTTCTGTGGCTCAGCACTGAGCAAGTAGCTCGCATGTCAAGGAGGGTATATGGGACAGTGGCTTCACAGTAGCTTGCTGCTTTGCTGTGTGCAACGGCTTGCTCAAGTCGCTTGGTGGGTGTCATGGTTAAGGCATCACCGTTGTTCCACCACCTTCCCCACTCCCACCAGGTAAACGTCGGTAAATCTGGAGGAAAGTCATGGAGATCCGCAAGGGCATGGGCGGTGCCACGTCCATCAGAAAGATTGCTTTCCAATACCACTCTCCGCTTCTCCCCCATCTCCACCACCACCAATTATCGCTCCTCAGCCCTTGGAATCCCCTCACCTACCCCTCGTATATGTTTGACCATTCAGGACATGCGCCTGTCTGCGCACAATCGCGTAGTCTCAATACTATGGCGACCATACATTGTTCTGGTGGACTAAGCAGTGTGACATGTGGGCCGTTGCAGGGGCAAGCAGCAGCAACAGTAGCAGCAGGTGGATCGAGCGGCTGTGATCATGGATGAGGTGGACGGCATGTCGGGGGCGACAGAGGTGGAGGCAGCAGGTCAGTGCTACAGCCTGCTGGGCCTAAACGAAGGTCTAATTTTCAGCGCCTTCAAGTCACGCTTGGCTGTACACTTCCGTGATCTGAGTCGTTGTGCTGCTTCCACTACAGATAGCCAAGAGGTTGCGGCAAGTGGCGATCGCTGATGTGAGTGCTCCAATCGAGCGTGACCCACTCGACATTACTTTCTCTTTGCCTCAGGTCACTCTCCTTCCACTCCATTTGAGCACCAGGGTAGCGTTTCAACAACCCAAGGACTTCTGCTTAACGCATGCACCGCCTTAGCATCCAGAAGTCTCTCGGGCTTCTCATCTGCGGTCCTCCTTCTCAACAGAGTGCTCTAGAGGATATAGCGGAGTGCACGGTTGGGGGGGGAGAGGGAGATGCAGCTGGCGCTGAGCTGCCGGCAGCTGTCGTACATGGAGGTGAAGCAGCGCATGCAGGAGGTGAAGCAGCGCATGCAGGAGGTGAAGCAGCGCATGCAGGAGGTGAAGCAGCGCATGCAGGAGGTGAAGCAGCGCATGCAGGAGGTGAAGCAGCGCATGCAGGAGGTGAAGCAGCGCATGCAGGCCTACGCCAAGGACGAGGAGATGAGGAGATCCGCTCGATGACTGCTGCGTCCATGGGAGGAAGGGGAGAGGAAGGGAGGAAGGGGGTTGAGGGGAAGAACGAGTGTGCAATTTCCAAAGCCACTACATAGGCTTTGTTCCTAGGCATCAACTACTCCGTTTACCGTTTACCGTTTGTTCCTAGGCATCAACTACTCCGTTTACCGTTTATCGTTTGTTCCTAGGCATCAACTACTCCGTTTACCTTTTTCTGGGCCGCAGGCTGATGGGGTACAGTGCGCGTGGCAAGAAGTTGGACATTGTCGTTGATGCAGCCATGTCAGACATCGACCTCATGCCGCTCGTCATCCAGTTTCTCCCGCCTACAACTCTTACCATGTCACTCTCGAGCTCTGAGCTCGCCACATAAACTGCTCTTTGGCTGCATCACACCACCGGGCCTCAGTTGTGAAGCATGCGGCCATGACAGCATCTTTTTTTTTTCTTTCAGTTGTTGTCAGCGTGACACCGACCTGACCCACCCTGCCGACCACCATACCACTGCGCCCAGAAGAACTGCCTGAACCACGTACCAGGCAACGACCCGTCGTCTCCCCGCCTGCTCTGTCGCCTCTCCAAACGGCGGAAGCCATCTCCAGTAGGGACCTGGTGAAATTGCAAGTGCGCAGGTACCAGCAGTGGCAGCAGCTGCGCTTCGCTACTATCATGCCCTGCATCACTCCGTGAGTTCCCCTGTGTCATGCTGGCACCCATCTCACCAGCACTGCATTCTACTTTAACCTCATACTTGCATTCTACTGCTGTATCCATTTGCCCGCAATCTTTAACTAAGTTGGTGTGGTGTGATCTGTTTCTGGACGAAGGGTCATTCCTCCAAAAGTAAGCCAACTTTACCATGTCTTTCTTTCCTTTTATAAGTTACGCCAGGAATCTTAAAAAAGACCGGGGATGGGATGTGATGTGAAAACTCACAGCCCTGCCTTTCATGTTCACCATCGCATTAGTCGTCTCAGGTGAAGGTTCGAGGCATGGGCTGAGAACATAGGTTTGGCATGGGCTGAGTACATAGGTTTGGCATGGGCTGAGAACATAGGTTTGGCATGGGCTGAGAACATAGGCTTGGCATGGGCTGAGAACATAGGTTTGGCATGGGCTGAGAACATGGGTTTGGTTTGGCATGGGCTGAGAACATGGGTTTGGTTTGGCATGGGCTGAGAACATGGGTTTGGTTTGGCATGGGCCGAGAACATGGGTTTGGTTTGGCATGGGCTGAGAACATGGGTTTGGTTTGGCATGGGCTGAGAACATGGGTTTGTCATGGTCATGGCACACAGCGCCATGGTTCATCAGCAGTGGGGCTGAGCTGTTTGAGTAGTAAAACAAAAACAGCTCGATGCATCAAACCACTTCTTATTCTGTGGTTGGTGTTCGGGGGCTGGTTTTCGGTAGGTACCAAGTGGTCAGCTCGATGCCTCACCTGCTGCTTGCCTCCTCGCCAACGTATGGCTGGAATCGCCTTTGTTGCTGGATCGACTAGGAAGTCATCAGGGTGGTTGTGAGAACAATAAAGCACCCCATGCCTCCTCGCATCCGTGGTCCGCTGAGCCCGTCTCTGTTTCACAAGGTGCTATTGAGTTGCCTCAATTTCTCCTCCTCTCACCTGCTGCATGCCTCACCTGCTGCATGCCTCACCTGCTGCATGCCTCACCTGCTGCATGCGTCCATGCCAGTGTACGTGGTCGGCTGAGTTTCCCTTTCACCTCGCTGACATCTTGCCCTCTCTTCTCCTCCCTTCCCATCTCCTCCCCTTCCTGCTACTCCCCTTGCTTCTGCTCCCCTCGGTTCTCCCCCCTTCCCTTTCCTCTTCCCATTATCCTCTCTCGCCTCCTCCCACCCACTCGTTTGTCATCCATCTGGCTCCCATCCACTCTCTCCCCCCCTCCCTCGCCTCTCCCCTGCACTCCAAATCCACCTCTCATGTCGCCCTTCTATTATCCCCCCTGCCCTCCATCACACCCTCCTCTGACCCAACCCAACCCTCCCCCCTCTCGAACCCCTCCCTCCCCTCTCCCCGCTCTTTGCCCTCCCAACCCCACTGCTGCGACAGCACGCCTCTCATGCTCCACCCATCCCCCGCGCCTGTCTCGCCAGCACCACCAGTCTGCCTCTCCTTCCCCGCCTCACACCCATGCTCTCCCACGTCGCTGCCTTCACCCTCTCATCCTCCGCGTTTCCCCCCGCTCCCCGACCGGCGGCCCTCCTTGCGCCCTTCATTGCGCTCGTCCTCTTACTCTTGGTGCGCGCTCTTTCCCCTTCCCTCTATCGCGCACTTCCCCACCCCTTCGCCTGCCCGTTCTCCCCTCTTCCGCCCTTCAACTCCCGCAAATGCTTTCCCTGCCACGCCTTCTCCTGTCCCTCGCTCCGTTGCCGCCAAACACAAGCCACTCGCCCCCGCATTCTCACTTCTCCCCTCCCCTCCCTGTGCCTCCTCTTCCCGCTCCGCCTTTCCTTCCCCCCCCGCGCGACCGACCGCCCGTCATTGCTGCCCCCATCCGCGCTTCCTTCCCCACTTCCGCGAACTTTCGCGGAGGCGGAGACGAAATGATCCAGGTAGTGCGCGACCGGAGCAGGCTTCCACCGCCACTTCACGCCGCCGCCGCCGCCGCCGCTCTGGCCTGTGCTGCTCGCAGCGACGCTGCTGCCTCCGCCGCCGTTGCCGCCGCTGACTTCACCCGCACCCGCCCCTCCCCGCGCCCTTCCCTGCGCCCCTTGAGCGCACTCTCTCCCCTAACCTCTTTCCCGCACTTTCCCCACTCTTCGCCTGCCCTTTCTCCCCTCCTCCACTCTCCTGCTCCCCCTTTTTTGGCCAAACCAGAATCATTAGCGCCAGTATCCCCCTATTTCCCTCCCCTCCCTGCGCCTCCCCTTCCCCCTCCGTGCGGCCGCCCGTCGATGCTGCCCTCATCTGTGTTTCCCCCGCAGCTGGCGCACAATACCAATTTTCGCCGACTCTCGCAAAGGCCGCGATAGGTTCGAACTCGCAGCCGGAACGGCAGCGGGGGCGGCGGCGGCGGCGGCGGAGGTGGCGGCGGCGAGGAAGTGATCCTGAGGGAGCGCGACTGGCGCGAGATTCCACCGCATCTTCGCGCTGCCGCCGCCGCCGTTCCAACCTGTGCTGCTCGCAGCGACGCTGCTGCCTCCGCCACCACCGCCGCCGCCGCTGCCTCCACCGGTGCCTCCTACATGCCCGTCCTTGCCCCATCCGCCATTGTCGCTGCTCCTCGCTCTTCTGCTCTCGCGGCTCTCCGCCATCGCGAATTTGCCGTCGTCAATCTCTTGTCGCCCTGCCCGTCGCTTCTGCTATCGAGCCACTCTCGGACGTCCCATTGCTGCCCTCCCAGCTCTCACTGAATCGCGAGTCCTGTGTACCCCTACAAAATTTAACTAGCAGGCCATGTTGGCCAGCTGGGAATTCTGATTAGGGAATTTGGGCAACGGCTGTTGTGAGTGCGACGGATGGAGCTTTGACTGTCTAAAACGTAGGAAAAATAGGCAGCTTCGTGCTAGTCGAGAACCGCGGAGGATAAGGCTCGGAAGAGGTTCGGGGCGCAAAAGTAAGCCGAACCAGCTGACGTGAGCGCCCCGGAACAAACAGGCTACAGAAGGCTACACTGGGGAATTCAAATATCAATATAGATACTCAACGAGATCAACCAATGAATTCTATAGAACATACTGTCATTAACAAAAAACAACAAAAAAAACAGAAGAACAACTACTCTTCGAATTTTGCCAGCTCACTCGCAAATTCTAACCTTCGCGGATAATATTCACGTGCTATGACGCGTAAGAACTTACTAATGGCGCTTCAAATATACTATAGTCACATCCCAAACTGCCCACATTGGTTGTTGGTCATTGTAAGGAAAAATCATTTTCCTTACTTCGCATTATTGCTTACTGCGTACACAACTGATCCCGCCAGCAGTACACAGTGCACCGTTACCACTCGTGACTCTCGCATCGACTACTGTTCCCGCCCCTGTTCATATCGCGACCCAACGACAGAGCACGGTTGGTAAACTGCATGCGACCTGGCCCTCCACCTCGAAAATTCCCAACCTCGGTGCTAGGCCCATAGAGCACCCCATTTTTGCGCGTTACCGTTACCATGTCAAAGTTATGTTTGTATTGTTAGTTAGACTGTAGTGAGTTGCATTTTAGGGGTTACATAATTTCACTTGACCCAATGCATCACTTCGGCTTGCCATCTTTGAGATGGTATCACACGCCAAGTTCCTAGGCCTACATAGTTCCTAAACCGCCAAAATCCTCAGCTCCCCCCCCCCCCCCCCCCCCCTTCAGCCGTCACGCCCCTCCTAGGCCGCTAGAAGTTGCACCCCAGCCAGCTAGGTCGCACGCACGCCACGTCCGTCCTCTAGCCGTCCATAGCCGGGTATAGCCACCCACTGTGTCAGCAGAATGAACAAGAATGTGTGAACTAACAGCATGCAGGAGTACAAGTAGCAAACCCTAATTGGCTTGTACCCCATATGGGCTACCCCACTACAGCCTACACAACATGCAGCATATAAGTTTGACACACCCCCATAGGCAAAGTGGGGGAGAACAAGAGGTCACAAGACCAGTCAAGAAAAGCAAAGCAAGCTCAGGGTGGATCACAAAGTCACCACACACTCTGAGCACAAGCAAATGGCCACAAGGCCAATTTACATGCAGAGTTATATAAAGCAGAACAAGCAATATAGTTATCAAAACCTAGCAAGAGTAAGCATGCAAGTATAAGCATATAGATCACAGTACAAGCAAAGTCAAGAAGTGAGCAAGTGAGGCCAAGTATGTACAAGGCCTAGAACAGTACAGAAACGCTGATGATCACAAGGCTGAAGTGCCTTGGTGAAGATATCAGCTGTGTTGGCCCGAGAGGCCACGTAAGCAAGATGAAGTTGTCCACGCTGCTGCAACTCTCGAGCAAGGAAGTAACGCAGAGCGATGTGCTTCGTCCTGTGCTCCAGTCTATGCTCCTGACACAAGGCAATTATGGCCTTGTTATCGACGTACAGAACTAGAGGAGAACTAGGCGGCTCACCCAAGTCGGTGAGCAGGTAGGTGAGCCAGCGTAACTCCTGTGCAGCCATGGCCCCTGCGTAGATCTCAGCCTCACAACTGGAAGTGAGAACAGAAGACGAGTGGGTAGACCGCCAAGAAACAGAACCAGAGCCAAGGCTGAAGGTGTAACCCTGTGACGACCGCTGCGTAGCCAAGTCGTCAACCCATGAAGCGTCTGCGTGACCAGTGAGGACAACTGGACCCCGTCCTCCAAGCACGAGCCCCATGCTCGACGTACTGCACAAGTAACGCAACACCTTCTTAGCGACCTCCCAGTGCTCTGGTCGGTGTCTCCTAGGCGCAACGTAGGGTGCCAGGATGCTAAGAGGGTAAGCAAGGCCAGGTCTAGTGCAGATCATCAGGTACATAAGGCAGCCCACAAGCTCTGGATACGGGCCACTCGGCTCTACGGACTCATCCGAAGGTAGAGCTGAGAGCGAGTGACCGGTAGGCAGAGGAGTGGACTGTGGCGAGGAGTACGTGAAGCGGACGCGCTGAAGGACCTGCTGCACCATGTGTGACCGAGTCAGGGTAATGGTGCGCCGTGCTTTGTCCTGGGTGATCTGCAAGCCAAGATAGCTGCGCAGCTCTCCCAAGTCTGTGCACGTGTGTCTCTTCTACAATTCCGACTTCACGTGGGCAAGTCCCTCAGTGTCAGCGGTGGCAAAGACCAAGTCGTCGATGTACACGAGGATGTAGAACGGCGGCAGCGAAGTGTCGGTGCGCAGAAACAGCGACGGGTCAGCAGTCGAAGGAGCAAACCCAAGAGCCGCAAGTGTCGTACTCAGTGTGTCGTGCCACTCGCGAGGCGCCTGGCGGAGACCGTGGACTGGCCGCCGGAGGCTCCACTGGGTACCTGCAGGAAACGACCCAGTGAAGCTAGGTGGGCGGCGTAGCCAGATCTCCTCGTGCAGGCTGCCCTGTAGGAAAGCAGTGCTGAAGTCAAGAGAGTGAAGCTCGTAGTCACGCCGAGCGGCGACGTGCAGCAGAGCCCGAAGAGTGGTCACCTTCAGGGTAGGGAAGAAGGTCTGGAAGAAGTCAAATCCCCGTCGCTGACTGAAGCCTCGTGCAACGTAACGCGCCTTGAAGATAGGCGGAGAACCCGGCGGCCGCTTCACCCTGAAAATCCACATGCCACTGACGATGTTCGCCCCAGGTGGGGGAACCTCATCGACGTAAGTGCTTGTGGACTTTTAGGATGCCATCTCTGCGTCCATAGCTGTCTGCCAATGAGAGGAGTAGGGATCCTCAATCGCCTCTTCGTAAGAGCGCGGGGTCGGGATGTCTGGTGCATCTGGGTCTCCCTCAGGTGCAATCAGCATGGACACGAGATAAGGTACAGCAGCTGCAAAACACTCAAAATCCTCCTGCCTGTCCTCAAGGACGTCTGTGCCAAGAGCACACTCACCCCCAACGGATGGAGGACAGACAGAATCAGACTCATCAACAAGACTAGCGGCGTAGTCGAGGCGACAGGCGGCAGCAAAGTCAACAGGCTCAGCAACTAGAGCAGACGCAGAAGTGGACTCAAACGAAGGGTCAGTGACAACAGTGGCCTGCGGACGAGTGACAGTAGGGCTGGCAGCACGAAGTAAGTCAGACCCCGGGTCTGGACCGTCAACAAGGGAGGACGCAGGAGGAGAAGGCAGAGGGACTCGTAGTGGAACAAAGGAAGGACGACGTGCCATCTGGTGCGTTCCGGGGACAGGAGGAGGACGCTGACGTGGAACACGACGACCTGTATGGACAGCGCAAACAGGCGACGCAGGACTAGACGCAGGCTCACGACGCTCTGTAAGACCTCCGAGCTGCTCAGTGCAAGGAGAAGGAGCCGGCAGTGGGGAGGCTGGCTGTAACTGTGGCTGGGACTGGTCAGGTGGTGGACACAGTAAAGGAGGAGTAAGGCCAGTAGAAGGCGGGAGACCAAGAACCTGCTAAAGCAGCGGAACGAAGTACGGTCGCGGCCGCACAGCGCCTCCACAACCAGCACCGACACCACCAGCACCCACAGGGCCAACACCTCCAGCTCCAGGGTCTCCAGCTCCAACGCGTGCAGTACTACCGGCTCCAGCAGCACCTCTAGCTCCAGCAGCTCCAGTTCCTCCAGTACGAGCACCTCCGGGACCAGTGCCTCCAGCACCTCCAGCACGAGAACCTCCGGGACCAGCGGCTCCAGCACCTCTAGCAGCTCCAGCTCCTACAGCACCTCCAGCTCCAGTAGCTCCAGAACCTCCAGTACAAGCACCTCCGGGACCTACGGCTCCAGCACCTCTAGTAGCTCCAGCTCCAGCGGCTCCAGCTCCAATGCCTGCAGCACCACCAGCTCCAGCAGCTCTAGTGCCTCCAGCTCTAGCAGCTCCACTCCGAAGGCTCCAGCGCCTAGCAAACCACTCGCGCAGCTGTGGTGGAGAGAGAGGCTCCCGCCGTGACGAGACACCCGTAAGACCTCCAGCAGACAAAGTACCTCCACGCTCAGCACGCTTCGGCTCAGCACCCCCAGGCTCAGCACCCCCAGGCTCCGCACGCTCAGGCTCAGCACCCCCAGGCTCTGCACTCTCAGACTCAGCAACCCCAGGCTCAGCATCCCCAGGCTCCGCACGCTCAGGATCAGCGCCCCCAATCTCAGCACCTTCAGGCTCCGCACGCTCAGGCTCAGCACCCCCAGGCCCCGCACCCGTAGGCTCAGCACCCCCAGACGCAGCACCCCTAGGAGCACCAGAGTCCACAGCTACCTGGACAGGCTCGACAGGGTCT